GCAAATTTTTTTATAAAATTTAATGGCCATATGAAAATTCATAATAAACATTTGAAGGTATTTAAATTTAGAAATAAAATACATTCGACCACAAGTGAAACCGAATTGATTTCTGGTCATCGACTGTAAAAATAGACGTGATTTAAGTGAATATCGTAGTGGAAATCTATTGAGTAATTTTCTTTGATCCAAATTTAACCATTGTGATCGAGCAATCCAACGATGTACAGATAGCCAACAAACGCGATTATATGAAGGTATATGAGCTATACTAAAATTTAAGATGTTTATTGTACTAAACACTAATATGAATATGAATATGATTAGTGTATTTTGCATTTGCATTTTGGTTTGATGGCTATAAAATAATAAACCAATTACGACTACAGATTTAGACCAAAATTCAGTGAACAATAATACATATCGAAGTGCTTGATTAAATTGATCAGTTTCACTATAGAGATGAACATAATCGGAATGAAATTGATACCAGAATAATTTTCGTTGTTTATTCGATGATTGAAAAGAATTTTTAAATATATTCATCGTTTTCAATGATAATTGTTTGAAACGTATTCGAAAAAATTCAATACCAAACACAATAAAACTTAAAAGTATTAATGAATCACTAATTATAAAAATACAATGACAAACGTATATTGTAAGAAATATTGTTGTCATTATTAATTTAATCAATTTAATTTGACCACATTGATATAGATAAAAAACAAAAAAAATTGCCAAAAAATAAACAGCCAATATTTCAATGTTAACCATTCGATAAGAAATAATAACAATAAAATGAGATTTTTGATAAAATTGTATTAAATAATTACGATATTTTAATGATAATTCATTATCATCATATTGACAATATTTAATTATAATTTCGGTTATTTTTGATTTGTATTGAATTAATTCAAACAAATGATAATAATATAAACATTCACGTAAAACAAATGCTATTATCGTTTCAATAATAATAAAATCATTTCTATTTGAATGAACAATTTCATTTAACATTTCAATACTTATTAAATAATCATTTTGTGGCCATATTACAATAATCAAAAGAAATACTATTGAAATCCATACATTCAATGTAATTAAAATGGCTCGTTTGATCAATGAAAATGTCCAAGAAATATTTTGTTGTTCATAATCCATCTGATTATAATCGATACGTAATAAATAAAATTTAAATGATTGAAAAATTTCTTGAAAAAATTCATTTATTTTCAACATTTTTATTATTATTAATTATAATTGAATATTAATAATTTATTATTGCTGTTGTTGATTGAATATGAAAAAGATGAATATTATGAATGATATTATCATATATTACAAAATATTTAAAAAAAATTCAAAACATACGTTGCTAAGAACTTTCTGATAATAATGAAATTTTTCATTCATTTTTTTTCTCATTTCATTCAAACAATGTTTTAATAGATTTTTATATTCAAAAAAAAAAAAAACAAACAAATCACGAATTATATCATATTCTTATTCTGTATATTCATTGTGTAAATATTAATCAGTAAAAAACAAAAAACAAACAAACATGATACAATACAACTTACAAAATAATATATTTGTTTAAAGCTAAATCTATTGAATGATATATTCATTGAATCAATGTTATTGATATTTTAAACAATTTTCAATATAATACAAAAAAAACAACAATCAGTTTTTCATTTGTTTTGTGATAGGCAAATTTTTTTATAGAATTTAATGGCCATATGAAAATT